TCCCTAGCATTTTCCTTACAGACACGCATTTCTAACACCCTGTGGATCTACAGAGGAAAACAGTCCTACTCTGTGCACTGAAAGTTGTAAATCTACCACAGCACATGTTGCAGAGAGAAACAAGATGGTACAATGTCTCCATTCTCATTTCTTCCTTTCATTTGACAAAATAAATAGCTCAGAATCCAGGGTGCCATTCTTGTCTTTTCTATTTCTTCATGAGATGTTGCAAAAGGTCCCCAAAATGCTTATGTGATTGTGTTTTCTGATGAAGAAAACAGGACAACAGTGTTTATCCTGTTTATCCTTTAAGGTTTTTGTAAAAACAAGTTTTTTAAAGATGTTATTTGCAAAAATCTTTTGAAAAATCGCTGTATGTACCCTGATTTGTTGAAGAACTCAATCAAAATAATGCTTTGAGTTTTAGCAGATTTTCTCAAGTCTATTTCTGCTGACATCAGAGACCTGCATGAGTTATCTTTTGACATCACTCAAAGTTTGTGATCAGATGACACTACGGTCTCCCGTAGTGATTTCTTTATAGAAATCATGTAGGGGGACCAGCAGTTAGCATAATGGCTATGTCGTTGGACTCCCATGTAGTCAACTGCAGTTCAAGTCCCCGACCCAGTGGCTTAAACTCACGCCGGGTGCATGGTCAAGATTCCCAGAGGGGAAAAAAAAAAAAAATTCCCAGAGGAGAATGGAGGAGAAGGGATTGTGGTGTGGCCATCCCCCTCGGGGTGATTTCTCACTTTCTGTCTCTCTGTCTCTCTGTCTCTCTTTCGGGCGAGTGCACGAGCCCTATAGCAAAAAAACAAAAACAAAAACAAAAAACCAAAAAACAAAAACCCCCAAACCTCTCCAAAAAAAGAAAAAAGATTCACTTAGAAAAAAATGGAACATTTCAAGGTGTAGCAATTAGTTCATTTTAAAAACAAACTCTCACTTTGCCCATCCATTGCTATTACATTATCAATGTACGGGTATGTGTATTAAAATGAGCAATCCATTAATAAGCCTACTTCTCAGAAATACATTTCGAATGATTTCTTTTCTCTCCACATTTTTCAAAAGAATCAAATAAAATGAATGCAGAGAATGGGATCTCGAAAGTGACTGGATCCATAGTACGAAATGGGGTCAGAATAAAATGCAACAGTAGCTCTTAATTCAGAGTCCTCAAATTTCCTTACCATGTTCGTCTTCCGCGGCTGAGGTGTAGACTTCCAGGGCCTCATCTTCGTCACTGAGCTCCTCCGCCGAGTCCTCACTACTGATGACTGCACAAAGGAGCGGACGTGAGCACGGAGCCCACACAGCAGGAAATCCCGTCCTAGGAGTGCTAGGGAGACTGGGAGGCTAAGTTAACTCCAGGCTCTAGTCTGTTCCTTGAGCATGCGTGACCTGCAGAGTGTCTCGCCCTGCACCGAAAGCTGATCAAATGCATGGAGAGGGCAGCTTTGCTCAACGACACGGTTCTTTGCCCACCCTCACCTACTGGTTCCCTACTCTCATTCAACCTCTCTCACTTTCCTTTTATTTGACTTTCCTCGGGGTTCCACCCTTTTGCCCTGCCTCCCCTCTGCTCCTGGCAGGGGTCTCTCTTTATACCTCTCCCCCAGTGATGTGTTTCTATCTCCTTTCTCAACTATCTTGGTTCTCAGATTTCTTTCTTTTCCTTTAATCCCTACCTCATGCCTTTCTCTTTTCCCTGATATCAATATTTACTGCCTTCATTTCTGCCTTTTGGCATTTTCCCAGTTCCCAAGGACTTTCTTCTGTTAAGCTGCAGGCTCACTGCCTTAGGTGCGCCCCCTCCTTTTCTTGCCTCAAGGACCCTGAAGTGCCCGGGCCCCATACCTGGTCTCCTGTGAGGCACAGTTACAGATTCTTTCAGCCAGCCTTACCTATCACGTCACATGTGGTTGCTTCAGCTCGCCGACCAACTTGTGAGTAAAAAAATGGCTTTTCCTTCTTTATGTCCACCAGAGGCACAGAACAGGAATTAATTTGGATTCCATTGCTGAGTAGCTCTGTCCCTGGGCCAAATTGTAATGAATGGAGAATTTTCATTTGCCTTCCCAGTGGGCCCTCCTCATTACTGTTAGTAACCCCCTCTCTCTACAATCTCACTGCCGGGGTAGAGCCTCCCCCAGTCCCCCCTTCTTCTTCCTGCTGCCAAATTCCGTCCCTTCCTTTGTGCTTCTCGTGACTTCTTTTAACCGTTCTTTTTACCTAGTTTTCTCATCTTTCAATGGACAATTTTTAAAAAATAATAATTTATCGGGGCCAGCTGGTTGTGTGGTGGTTAAGGTGGCTGGATCCCACATGGCCAACTACACAGTTCAAATCCCAGACCCAGCAGCTTAGGAAAAGTGCCGGGTGCATGTGTGTGCGTGCCCAAAATCCTGAGAGGACAATGAAAGAGAAGGGATTGTGGCGTAGTCGATCTCCCTTTCCCACGTTCCCTCTGTCTCTCTCCAGCAAGCCTACATGCAGTATAGTAAATTTTAAAAAATAGATGTAACATTATAATAACAATTGCAGCATAATACCTATAGATAAAATTGGGTTCGAACGATCAAGAAGTGAGCATATTACTTTGGTAAAGACACAGAAGATGATGAAAACAAAAACCTCTTAGTGATACCTCCCCAGCTGTCCTCACCATCTTGTTCAAAGTCAACCATCACCTTGTTTCCAACACCTAGATTACTTGGCCTGTTGTGTAATTTCTGTGAGCAGAATCATGTCTTCTCTCTCTCTCCCTGCGTGTGTGGGTATGTGTGTGTATTCCCCTCAAAGAAGCCAAATCCCCTGAATTATATATATATATATAAAATTCATAAAATTTACTCATATTTGTGAGAGTTATTTACATTCATTTTGTATAATTATTATTTCCACTGCTGTATAATATTCCATTATATTGTAGAAACAAGTCAAAAAAATTTGTTCATTTGTGTTTTTTTCTTTTGTTTTTAAAGAATTATTTTTATTTAAGTTTATTCATTGTCATTATTTCCTTTTATTATTATTTTTTGAAGTTGACCAGAGAGAGACAGAGAGAGAGAAGGAAAGTGAGAAAGCAAGCTGTCAGGTTCGGGACTCAAACCGCGGTTAACCATGTGGGAATCCAGCCGCCTTAACCACCATACCACCTGCCAGCCCCAATTCACTTGTGTTTTTTAAAGTTTTTGACTTTTTGGGAATAATGCTGCTATGGATATTCTTTTCATAGAAAGAAAAGAATCATGCTTTGATGAACGTAATATGCATTTATGTTGATTTCCAATAAGGAATGTTATTGCTTCAGTCTAAGGTATGTCTATGTTTATTTTTGGGAGATTACACCAAACTGTTTTCCAAAAGCATCCATAAAATCAGAGATGCAAGAGAGAGAACTTGGTAAATTCAAGTAACTAAAGGAAATTTGGTGTGATGGGAATGTGGCATGAGGGAGTGAGAAGCGAGCGATGGGGATATGCAGTTGCACAGTGGGAGTCCTTCAATACTACTTTTTTTTTTTTTTTTTGGCCATTCTTACCAGAGAGAGACAGAGAAAGGAAAAGTGAGAAATCACCCCCAGGGGGTATGGCTGTGCTACAATCTTCTTTTCCATTCTTCAATCAGGATTTTGGGCACACATGCCCACATGCACAGCGTGATTCTCAAGCTGTTGGGTCCAGGACTGAAACCATGATTGGCCACGTGGGAGAATAGAGGCTTAACCACCAAGCCAGCTAATGGCCCCTATCCAATATTTCACATCAACTAGCTTTGACCTAATGCTGAAGGCCACAGAAAGTTAATTGGTTTGCAGTAGGAAAGCCATATGAACTGGCCTGCATTTCTGAGAGATCAGTTCAGCTGAAGTTCAGAGAATGGAATTATGAGGAGAAAGATTGGAAGGATGAGGCCAGCCAGGAAACAATTCCTCTAGTTTGAGGGTGATAGGGATCTACTCCAGGATGACAATGCTGGGGATGGAGGCAAAAGAACAGGCTGGGGATACAGGCAAACATGTTTACAGTAATCTGTAATTGTTTTTCTTAGAACAGTCAACCATTTATAAAAAATATCCTCTTTAACAAAGTAACTGACATTTTTCCAGACACAAGAACAGACTTGAAGACAGAAAATTAAGAATTGCATAGCTATCGACTTTCATGAAAATTTTTATATCTGCCTCTTTATTTTATTTTTATTTATCTATTTTTATTTTATCTTTAAACTTACATCCTCTTTTGAATATTTTATTTAATATTATTATTAAATAAATTTGACCAGAGAGAGAGAGAAAGAAAGGGAAAGTGAGAAAGCAAGCTACCAGGTCCTGGACTCAAACCATGGCTGACCATGTTGGCGTCCAGCACCTTAAACATCATGCCACCGACTGGTGCCTGCTTCTTACTTTTTAACAAGCAAGTTTTATTTAAAATTTTTTTTACAATTTTTTTATTGAGATAAAATTTATAACATTGAATTCACTGTTTTAACCACTGTAAATTGTACAGTAAAGTAGTTTTTAGTATATTCAAAATGTTGTACAACATAATTCCAGAACATTTTACTTCATTCTCAAAATAAACTCTATTATCTGTTAAGCAACATATCCCTACCTTTCCTATACTCTAGGTTTCCCTGTCTTTAGTAACCCCTATTCTATTCTCTTTTTCTGTGAGGTCAATATTTTCTTGAGTGAGAACATGTGGTATTTCTTTTTCTATGCCTCGCTTATTTCACTTAACATAATATCCTCCAAACTCATCCATCTTACTCTGAATGAGAGGATTTCATTTTTTTAATTAGATAGTATTCCATTATAAATGCCATATTTAAAAAAAAATTCAACTGGTACCAGCAGATGGCATAATGGTTATGTTGCTGGACTCCCACATACTCGACTGTGGTTTGAGTCCTGGACCCAGCAGCTTAAAACTCATGCCAGGCACATGTGCATGCGTGCCTAAAATCCCGAGAGGAGAATGGAAGAGAAGGCACTGTGGCATAGCCGTCCTCCTGGAGGGTGATTTCTCACTTTCTCTCTCTCTGTCTCTGTTTCTCTGGTGAGCACATGCACCCTATAGTAAAAATCTCTCTAAAAAATATAAATAAATAAATAAATAAATAAATAAATAAATAAAAATAAAATTCATCTGTTGAAGACATTTAGGTTGATTCCATGTCTTGGATTAAAGACATTTTAGTGTAGGAATTGACAGAAGCTGCAAATAAAATGATCATTGTTTTAAGCCACAAAGTTTTGTTACAATGTTTGTCATACTTCATAGCAATAGGTAACTGATACAGCCTCAAAATAGAAATGTCCTTCAGATCTTTGAATAAAGGTCTTCAGGTACTTGGAGAAAGGAGCCCAGAAAACAGGTCTGGGGTGGAGAAGGACTATCAGGAATCAATAGAAGCCAGGTGGTGATTGCACTCTGGGACAGGATGAGATGCCTGAGAGGCTATTGTGCATGGAGGGGTTCACAGGAGTCCACTGACAAGGGGACGCCTGCCCCTTCCATGGTGATAGGCACAATATTCTAGTGACTGTCTCCTTGAATCAGATACTTTCTTGATCTGTCTTCTCTCTCTCTTTCTCTCTCTCTGTGGACCAATCTCCAACAAGTTTCCATTCGTGCACCTTTAACTTATTCTCTGTGTAATTCTTGTTGTCCACTCATTCCTTGGTATTCATTTTCCTCTTTATCTTTTTCTACTTATACTCCTTTTTTTTTTTTATCACTATCTCTCAGGGCCAAGACTAGGATGAGGCAAAGGTGATACCTTGGACATAAAATTTAAGAACGTGTTCAGTCTCAGGTGAGACTGCTGTCCCCTACCTGGTGTTTCAGTTGCTCTATCTCTGTTATATTTCCTACCTGCTCCTAGCCTGTGTCTGTTTCTTAATTTTTTGATGTGATTTCTGCATAGCCTCCTCTATACCACTTTTCGTCTTTCTATATTTTCCTCACCTCAAACATTCAGTCATACCAAAGGTCTCCTCCCAGTGCCATTGCCTGCTGTACCTATAGTTTCTTAAAGGTTTTTCACCTGGGCTTCCTTCCTTGCAAACCTGACAGGCAGCCTCAAGCATGATCTTTTTTTCCACTATAACTTCTGAAAAGTAAGTTGTAATTTATTTCTCTTCACTAACTTCACAACGTGGCAATGTTCAGATTCCATGCCAATGTATTTAAAATCTGTCTCACTCATGTACTTTGTTATTTGGGTTCCCCAGTTAACCTTGCCCACATTCTCTGGCCTTGCATTATCTACTCAAATATAGCCCCTCCATTAAAAGAGCAATTCTCATTTTCCCTTACATTTCACACCTGTTAAAAAATAGGCAGAGGCTGTGCACATAAACAGTATGTCTTTGATGGGGCTAGGCAGTTCACATGGGAGAACAAAGAAAAGATTTTTCTTTAGTAGAAAAAATATATAATTAGATAAGTGGTAAGGGTTGGTGAAAGATGGCAGAACAATTCTCTCCAGCACTCATTCTTCTCACAGAAGCATTGATCTGAACAACCATCCACACATGAAAAATACTTTAATAAGAGCTAAGGAAACCAGAGGAGAGATTATAGCTCCTTGCTATAGCACACAACTAAGAAAAACAGGTCAATTAGCCCAGTGGTAAAGGGAGCTGTATCAAATCAGTGATTCAAATCTCAGCTTGGTGACATGAGAAACATGCTGGGCACATGTGCATGCATGACTCAAATCCTGATAGGATGAAGAGATGAGAAGGTATTGTGGTGTGACCATGCCCATTGAAGGGTGCTTTCTCTCATTCTCTTCCCCTTATCCTGTCTTTCTGGTGAACACACAAACCTTCAGACAATAAAGAATAAAATAAAATAAATAAGAAAAAATGGATCAAAGAGGGCAGGAACGACATTGTCCACCCTTCTCCAACCCTAGGCAACACAATATAGAAAGGGATACCTTCTACTTAGAGAAAAGAAAGGGAAGTAAGCTCCGAACTTTTCCATGAACCTCCAACATGAGGCTGTCTCAGTAAAACTGAGTGCCAGGTAGGCTACCACAACCCTGGACTCCAGGCCAATACCCATGGTCCAGCCCTCTATGTTTGCCTAGTCCTCTGCCAAATCCCACAGCCCCAAGCTCCAGGCCAGCACTATGGACTCAGTCTCCAGCCTGACCCAGTGCCATGCTGGCTTCAGTGACCCAAGATTCCAAACCAAATCTAGTGTCAGCTTGACCCCAGCAACACTGAATTTTGGGCCCACCTTTCTATCAAGCCAGCCCCAGTGTTGTGCTAGTCCCAGCAAGACCAGGCTTCAGAACTGCCTTCTCAGCACTGCAGAGCCTTGCAATCTCTGGATCCATGCCCATCCCAACACATGTCTGTCCACAAGCTGTACTCAGTACCAGGCCAGACTGTCTGAAGACTCCGGTAGAGAGTTTGCTTTTGGACCATGCCAGATGGCTTGCCCACAATCTCGGGATGGATTGACTGTTAAAAGTTTTTTGCAGACCAAGCCAGTCTGCAAAGACAGGACTAAATTCCTACCTCCTCATATGCATACACATCAATGTAAGGCAATAAGAATCATGAAAAACCAAGGAGACATAACACCAAAAGAACAAAATAATCTCTAAGTAGTTGACCCCCAAAGAAACAGAGAAATACAGACTGTCTGACAAAGAATTTAAAATAGTTGTTTCAGGGAAACTAAGCAAATCTCAAGAAAACACAAAGAAACAATTAGATGAAATCGGGAAGATAATAAATGGCCAAAATTAGAAATTTAACAGAGACTGAAATTATAAAATAGAATCAATATTATATTGCTTGGAACAGAAAAAATACAGTGAATGAAATGAAAAATGCAATAAAGAGCATTAATAGCAGAACTATTCAAGCAGAAGAAAGAATCTATAAATGTGAAGATAGGTTTTATTAAAATACATCATCAAGGAATACCAGAGACAGTGAGGGAGGAGAGTGGGAGATGGCAGAGGGTAAGAGATAGGGAATCAAGGATGGGGGGAAAAAACAAAACATACAGAAAACAAGAAATGGAAGATTATTTGCTGACAATAACATGTTTGTTGATGTGCTTGATTGAGACAATATACAGTGTACTCTGGATAGAAAATCTCATTTTTTATGCTGTAATGATGTACAGTGAATGAATGCAAATAAATAAATTGGAAAAAAAAGAATAAAAAGAATACATCATCAAGGATAAAAATAAAAAAAGGAATAAAAAGAAATGAAGAAAGCACATAGGATTTATGGAACATAACAAGAGAACAAATACTGAGACCAGAAGTTGATGTAATGGCTATGTTGCTGGACTCCCATGTAGTCAACCGTGGTTTGAGTTCTCAACCTGGTGGCTTAAACTCATGGAAGGCACGTGTGCGTGCATGCCCAAGATCCCGAGAGGAGACTGGAGTAGGAGGGACTGCAGCATGGCCATACCCCCTGGAGGGTGATGTCTCACTTTCTGTCTCTGTTTCTCTCTGTCTGTCTGGCAAGCACACGCGCCCTACAGCAAAAACTTCTCAAAAAAAAAAAAAAAGAAAAGTAAAAAAAAGAGAACAAATATTTTAATCAGAGGATTTCATGAAGGAGAAGAGAAAGACAGGAGCTAAGAAGATGTTCACTTTTATTCAAGATTGTACTTTAAGTCCTAGCCAGAGTCTATAAATTCAGTCTCCAGTCTCTAGTTGAGAAAAATATATAAATGCCTCTAGATGACAAAAATAGTTAAATAATTCATCTTCTTTTTAACTTTTAAAGAGAGTTTTTTTGTTTGCTACAGGATGCATATGCTCACTGGAAAGATTCTATCTATCTATCTATCTATCTATCTATCTATCTATCTATCTATATATAGAGAGAGACAGAGACAGAGAGAGAGAGACAGAGAAATGGAAAGTGAGAAGTCACCACATAAGGGGGATGGTCATGCCACAATCCCTTCTCCTTTATTCTCATTTCAGGATTTTGGGCACACATGCATACACATCCAGCATGAGTTTCAAGCCCCTGGGTCCAGGACTTGAACTGTGGGAGTCCAGCACCTTAGCCAGTACACCACTTCCTGGCCACTAAATTATCCCTCTTTACAGATGACAAAATTTTATAGGTAGAAACTCTTAGGATTCCACCAAAAACAGTTAGGATTTAGTAGAGTTTTAGTATATAAAATAAACATGCAGAAAAATTAGTTGTATTTCTATAGAGTTGCCATGAACTAGCTGAAAAAGAAATCAAGAAAATTATTCCATTTACACTAGCTATAAAATAAAATTCTAAGTATAAATTAACCAAGGAAGTGACAAACCTATACATTGAAAACTATGTAACATTGAAGAAACAAATGGAAGAAGATACAACTAAATGGAAAGATAGTTCATGTTCATGAATTAAAGAATTAATATTGTTAAATATCCATACTACTCAAAAAAAAAAAAAAAAAGAGAGAAAGAAAAAAAAATGGGAACCAGTAGTTGGCGTAATGGCTATGTCGCTGGACTCCCATGTAGTCATCCACAGTTCAAGTCCTGGACCCAGTGGCTTAAAACTCATGCCGGGTGCATGTGCGTGCGTGCCCAAGATCTCAAGAGGAGAATGGAGGAGAAGGGATTGCGGTGTGGCAATTTTCCACTTTCTGTCTCTCTGGCAAGCGCACACACCCCATAGCAAAAACCTCTCCAAAAGAAAAAAAAAAAAAAAGAGAAGAAAAAAATATCTATACTACTCAAGGTACACTACAGATTCAATGCAATTCCTATAAAAATTCACTGGTGTTTTTCACAGAAATATTAAAACCATTCTAAAATTTGAATGAGAACATAGAAGACTCTGACTAGCCCAAGCCATAGTAAGTAAAAAGAACAAAGCTGAAGACATCACACTACTGACTTGAAAATATACTACAAAGCTGTAGTAATCAAAACAGCATGGTACTGGAATAAGAAGAGACACATAGTCAAATGAAACAAACAAAAAAAAAGGGCTAGAAATAAATTCATGCATTTATGATCAAGTGATTCTTGACAAAGATGATGAAAACACACAATAAGAAAAACACAGTCTCTTCAATAAATGGTGTTGGGAAAGCTGGATGTTCACATGAAGAAGAATGATATTAGACTTACCTTATGTATGTAAAAAAATCAACTTGAAATAAAGATAAATGTAAGACCTGAAATTGTAAAGCTACTAAAAGAAAACATGGGTGAAAGCTCTGACAACAGTCTGAGCAATTATTTTTTCGGATATTACACAAAAGCCAGAAAACACAAAAACACAATACACACACACACACACACACACACAAATAAGCATAAATAAAATGTGGGATTACATCAAACCAAAAACCTTCTACACAGCCAAGGAAATAGACAATGAAATGGAAAGACAACCTACACAATGGGAGAAAATATTTGCAAATATTTTCTAGTAAGGGGTTAATATTAAAAATACATAAATATATAAAGAACTCAAAAACAATTCATAGTTAAAAGCTAAACTGATTAACAAAAATGGGCAAAGGACTTGAATAGACATGTGTAACTGACCAACATTGAAAAAAATACATATATATGAAAAAATGCTCAGCATTACTAATCATCAGGAAAGTACAAATTAGAGCCAAATAAAATATCACCTACACCTATTAGGATGGCTATAAAGAATAACAAATGTTACTGAGAATGTGGAGAAAATGCACATCCTTGCACGCTGTTGATGGGAATGTAAATTAGTATAGTCATTATGGAAAACAGTATGGAGTTTCCTTAAAAAAATAAAAATAAAACTCCCAAATGAGCCGGTAATCCCCCACTGGGTATATATTCAAATGATATGAAATCAGTATATCAAAGAGATGTTTGCATTCCCATGGTCATTATAGCATTATTCACAATAGACAAAATATGTAAGTAAATTAAGTATTTATCAGTGGATAAGTGAATAAATAAAACACGATATATATGCACAATGAAATACTACTCAGTCTTGAAAAAAGAAGGAAATCTTTTCATTTGTGGCAACATAGATGAATCTGGAGAACATGTTCAGTGAAATAAGCCATGCACAAAAAGACAAACATTCCATGATCTCACTTATACATGGAGTACCATTGTGTAAGGTGTATAACGGTTACCTAGGGCTGGGAGGGTTAGAGAAAGAAGATGGGGAGATGTTGGTCGAAGGATACAAAATTTCAGTTCAAAAGGAGGCATAAGTTCAGGTCTATTGTATAACATGGGACTATAATTAAGAACAATATGTGTTATTCTTAAAATTTGTTAAGAGAATAGATTTTAAATGTTCTCACCACAAAAAAAAAAAACAGTAAGTGAGATAATGCTTATGTTAATTACCCTTGATTTAGCCATTTTACAATGTATGTATGTTTCAAAACAACATGGTGTACATGACAAATATATACAATTTTTAATTTTTAAAATAAAATCATGTCTACAATGATATAAATGAAACAATAAACAACCAAACCAATAAAGACCATCTGAAGATAAAAAGGAAATTTGTGAGATAAACGATAATTACTTTCTCCATCACAAGGCACTTTACTGAGCATCTTCTTTCCTGTATCTCCATTGTCCACTTGGTTAGGTATTTGTTTGCAGGACTCTAAAGATATAAAAAGACCATAGCTAAGATCCAATAGAGACCTGCTCTGGCATGTTTTGTTATCCCTCTTCCTGTTTCTTTTCTTTCCTCTCATGTTTCTATTTATAGCCCTGTCTGCATATATTGCTACCTCCACTGGATGAAGTGTTTGTGCTTCCTTGATTCTATGGGCAAGCTCTCTCTGACTTCTCCTTTGCTTTTTGCTTCTGCTTCTTTTCCAAGGGAGGCCCTGCAATCTTCCCCCTTTGACTCTGAGTTTTTCTTTTCTACCTTTCTTCCTCCTGGTCTCTCTCATCCATCTATCAGGCCTCATTCTTGCATTCTCTGTGTCTGCAACCTCCTCCTTCTTTGTTAAATAGATGTCTTCATGGATGTGCCTTGGTCCATTCCTCTGCCACCAGTCAGGCCCCCTTGGCTCCTTCACACTCCCACAAACCCAGACAGTCAGCCTTACCTGCTGGCTCAGACTCCTGGGCACATTTTTTATTTGCTTGTTGGTTTTCTTGTGCATTTTTTTCACCAGTTGTCTCTTCTATCTCTTCTGCTTCATAAATATGCTCTGAGAGTCCATTTTCAGGCAGGGGTGTACCTAAACAATGTATTGATTTATAGGTAATTTATTTGCCTCCTACACCCATCAAGGTCTAAAAGGAAAACACAAACCAGTCTAAATCTTAGAGCAGAGGAAATTTAATTCAGGTAATGGAAGAATGTGGGCAACTCAGAGAACAGTCAACAGAAAGCTAGGTGAGAGCCCAGGGCTAGGGTTACAGGGTGGATAGAAGCTGGAAGCATTACTGACCAAGGTGGAAGGTGGAGCCATGAGTGAAGTATTACTGCCAGAACTGCCCTTGGAGACGAGATGAAGAAATACCAAGCTTCTTTCTTTCTTCTGCTCTTTGATCTCTTGCTAATGTCTCTCTCGTTAGGAACCCAGCAAGAAGTCAGCTAACAGGGAAATGCTCGCATCACTAATCATCAGGGAAGTACAAATTAGGAAAGTCTGCAGGAGCCAGAGCACGGAGATAGAGGGCCGAGTGGAGCAAGGTGAGAGCAAAGAATGAACAGACCTAGACAAACAGACCCAGCACCAAGACATGTCCCCTTCCCCTATGGCCTTCCTCCTTGACTCATGGGTTCCACTGACCCAGCCACTCTGTTCCCACTAACTTCAGTAGTATATAAATGGAGAGATATTTTTCAGTGTAGTTTGATATATTTTTTAAAATTTAGTGCTAATAATTTATGGAAAGACAGATTTTAAAATCAGTTTTGAAGTTTTGATACAGAACATGAAGCCATGTGCATGTTTTGTGCACCTCCATAGATCCCTGGAGCCATGAACACAAGACACAGTCCTTACCCTGCCTGTGCATGTCACAGGAGGCCGTTTCTGCTGGGACGAACTCTTGGACACATTTGTTGGTGGCTTGTTCTGCTCTTTGTACGTCATTTGGGTTGCAGGTCGAAATTTCTGTCTTCATGTTCATTTGCTCTCCATCACTGACATGCTCTGGGATTCCATTTCCAGGTAGCGTTGTCCCTAGATTACATTGGGAGTTACAGAGAATGTAAGCACATCTTCCCTTTTCCCCTGAAGCCCTTCTCTGCTGCTTATTACTAATAATTACTAATAATGCCATCCTTTCACTCCTTTCTGTTCCATGCTCTACACTAAAAAGTAAATAGCTAAGAATATGGATTTTTGCATGTTATAAATTTTTAAATGTTAATTTTAAAAATAAAAGTGAGTCTCTGTGAGTATAATTATACTTTCAAATATTACTCCAGGGGCCAGCAGGTGGCATGGTGATTAAAGGCACTGGATTCCCACATGGCCAACCATGGTTCGGGTCCCAGACTTGGTGACTTGAAATTATGCTGGGTTCACGTGTGTAAACAACACATTTCAACTAGACCCTACAAGATAAGGGCCTTCTGCAGTGCTAGAAATTCCCTAAAGAGTCTTCTGTGTTACTCATTTTCATAAGACAGCCATGGAAAAAATGCTTTAAATTTATTATATAGAGACCAGTATGTTTTAAGGGTGGGTAACTTAAGGGTGTCAATTTAATTTTGGGGGCCTGAGGTGGTGCTGCTTCCATCTCTTCCTCTCTAACCTGGGGAATAATTATATCTACAGTGAATATCTGTATCAGATACAAAACAAAAAGAAAATCCTGATTTTACCATAATGGTTAAAAGTGTAGAATCTAGAGACAGGTACAAATAATGACAACTAACTTTAATAATAATATATGCACGTAACACAGTAGATGAAGTACCAGGGAGGACCGTGAAGGATTGACGTGATGAAACTTGTTTAAAATACATCAGCCCTGTGAAGGATGTACTGTTATTACATCCTCCATATGAATAAGGGAACCAACTTGCCCAAGATCACAGAATTCTGACCCAGGTAGTGGGGCACCAGAGTCCTGCTCTGACACTGTCCTACAGTAGAGTCAAATTCCAGTTCTTAGTTGGCTAAATTTGCACTGATGACCGAACTAATGAACTTTCTCCTATGAAAAACAGGGATGATATACCATCATCTTAAAGTTTCTCAGGAGAGAAATAAAATATCATCCACATCATTAAATGGAGCATTATAACTGATTAGAAAATCAAAATCATTGTAATTATTGCCATAAATTTATAAATTTTTTTGGAGAGGTTTTTGCTATAGGGCACTGCGCTCACCAGAAAGACAGAGAGACAGAGAGACAGAAAGCGAGAAATCACCCCCCAGGGGGGATGGCCACACCACAATCCTTTCTTCTCCATTTTCCTCTCAGGATCTTGGGCACGCATGCACATACACCCGGCATGAGTTTAAGCCACTGGGTCTGGGACTTGAACCATGGTCGGCTACATGGGAGTCCAGTGACATAGCCATTACACCAACTGCTGGTCCCTACATTTATAATATTTAAAATGATTGTAGCATATGATTAAGCGTATTATGGGATTAAGAGAAGCTGAAGAGTCATTAACAGTATTTACTGGTTATTAAAGAACCAGAGAGTTTTCGTAAAGGCCCAGGTGGTGTTTTGAGGGCAGGTCCTAGCCCCAGAGATGATGACTGGGAGATGATGAGTCCTATGGAGGGCAGACATGTGTAGTCCTGTGGGATGGACCCAGCAGAAAAGATGTCCATCTCTCCCCTCCAAGTCCTTCAGAACCAGCTACTGCTGAGTGTCAGATCAAAGCACCAGTAGATCCTGGAGACTGTGCAGTCAGGAGCAGGGGCAGAAGGCTACACCCAGGGCCGTTGGGAACCGGCAGCAGTGGGTCAAATGAGAGGGGCAGAAGTAGCCTTCCTAGGCAGCCTGGAGGGTAAAGGTTATTTAAATCCTGAACATGAAAAAACTTCAGTTAGGGAGATTCTGGGCGATCAGTAACACAAAGAAGCAGCCTCACAATGCGTCCCAGGATGGGCTAAGACACCAAAGGGTCACAGAACAGCCTACGGTAACTGACCAGCGTCAGACGAGGAACCTGACTGTGGCCAGGTCAAGCTTCGAAAAATGTTTCCTTCAGTTCCTAGAGGGGAGAAAGTAGAAGTTTGCTTCAGAAATGGAGGTATGGGTTTTTCCATTCTCCCATAACCTCTTTTCTGTCTTTATAATGTAGGTGTTACAGACCCCTCTGAACATCACCACAGAGCCTGTCTGGAGCTGGCAGATCTCACCTGATTCTTGAGGTCAGACTCCAACCCAGAGAGTGGAGACTAGGTCAGTCGCAGAACTAGCTGAGAGGACCTTGGCCAGACCATTCCCTGGGTATCCTGCAGGAAGCACGCTGGTGACAGCAATGGCTTGCCTGACCTCAAGGCCAAAAGTGAACCTGCCTTTATCTCCAGGGCTGCCCTTGGTTCCTATGAAGTCCTGGCTGCCTCATCCCCAACTCTAATCACACCCTCCCTCTAATGTCTGTCCACTCTTCCCTGTTGGCCTTTCCATGACGAGTCGGTGTCAGATCCACTTCTGCTTCCTACCCAGCTCTTGGTAGTTGTTTATGATTTTTCCTGTATCTTTCTATATACATACATTTTTCCATATTTGCCTCATGTTTCTGCCTTTTTTTCCTTTAAATTTATTTATTTTTTATATTAATTCATTATACATCATTACAGCATACAAATGAATTTTCCATCCAAAATACACTGTATATTGGCTCAATCAAGCACATCAACATACATGTTATCAGCAAATAATTTTCCTTTTTTTTTTTTAGAGGTTTTTTCCGCTATAGGGTGCGGGCGCTCGCCAGACAGCCAGAGAGAGACACAGAGACAGAAAGCGAGAAATAATCCCCCAGGGAGGATGGTCACGCCGCAATCCCTTCTCCTCCATTCTCCTCTCGGGAGCTTGGGCATGCACGCACACGCCCCCGGCGTGAGTTTTAAGCCACCGGGTCCGGGATGCGAACCGTGATCGACTACGTGGGAGTCCAGCGACATAGCCATTACGCTAACTGCTGGTTCCCCATTTCTTATGTCTTGTATACTTTGTTTTTTTGTTTTGCCATCCTTGATTCCCTATACCTCACCCTTTGCCATGTCCCACACTCCTCTCACATTGTCTCTGGTATCCATGATTGCTTTCTATGTCTCCCCCCCACCCCATTTAATTGATTTGCTAATGAACTTAATTAGTCTAAATATTTCCAATAGCTAGCACAGCTGATATATACCTATACATGAACCCAAGTCTGACTTTAGGCATAAACCCCAGTGAGTAGAATGAACATGCTATAAAGTAGTACATAGCTGGGGCTATATAGATTACTCATCAAATATGCATTTTTTTTAAATTTCGATACGAACAGTTTTACTGTTTTTTTTTTTCTCCTGAAACTTTTTAAAATTACTTAACATTCATTCCCTGAGCATCATCACAACATACTAAATGTGGTTTCCCATCTAGAATAAACTGCATAGTGTCTTAATTATGTGTGTTATCATCAATAATATTCCATTTCTACTTTCATATATATGTATATATATGTTTTTTACCCCATGTTTGACCCTCTGCCCT